CCCCTAACAACACCTGCCACTGGCGGTAATGAAGAGAAGGTAGCTGCGCCATTTTGATGTTGGGAGAGAAAACGAAGGTGCTACAAGCTGTTGCTTTTTGTATGTTAGGTGAATGGGGCTTGAAGGCTGTTAGATGCAGATCTGTCATGACAGCGTCAGAGAAATCTTCGTCCAGCAGCTGCTCTGCTTAGGCATCCATCTATTTGAAAAACAGGCAACAAACTTATAAAAGCAATGCCTCGTGCTCGTCACTGGCCGTTCAGTGCGTATTTTGGGGGAACAAACAATTTGTTGTCTAATGACTAGAAATAGCTGGAGGGAATTCCAACTCACTTGAGGGAGTCAGGCTGCTGCCCCAACAAGCATTTTGCCAGCTATCGCTTGCTACAGCACTCAGCTGTGTGCTGCCACCCTCACATCTTGGGTACGTGTTTGTAAAGCCTCCGATGATGCAACAACTCCCATTTCAAGGACAAAAATGCTGGACAGTGCAGATGAAGAGAAAATACAGCCAGTATGCACACGTCTCACTGCTGGTGTCTGCCTCAGTGCCTGGAGCAGTGTAACAAGCCCCGGCACCTGTGGCAGAAGGACAAAGCACTGGGCATGGTTTGGAGGCCTGCTCAGGCCTTGGGTCAGTGGTGACTTGACAAGACTAGGGGTACCTATGTGAAGGTAGCCTCCGTCCGCCTTCGTTTGTGCGCTCATTGATGCTGATTGATCTCTGGAGAAATGCACACATATGCTTCTTTGTGTGAATCCTCCTGTAAAATTAATGCTTGTAACAGCAGTATTTTGTTGGGAGTGAATAATACTGATTGATTGGCTTTGTCCTTACCCTGGGGGGCTGAAAGAACATTTACAGGCTGTCCTCTGAGACCCACCGACCAAAATTCAGGCTCCTTTAATTTAGCCTCTAGGGCTGTAATCTGGCCTTTGCTGTGTAAGTCAGAACGTGACATTTTGCTGATGCTGTAATCGCAAGGCCGCAGTCAGTGGTAATGTCAGGCTGAAAAGGTTAAACCCTGTTTGCCTTTTTACCATTGTTCAACTTCAAGTCATTTCCCTGCTGCGGAGCTGAGAGAGACTGGACCTTATGGGGGAGCGCTTTTGTGGCCTCAGTTTCAGCTCTCACGTCTGGTGTGCTGGGGCCTGACCTGCCTAGGTAGGACTGCAGCCAGAGCGTAAGATTTTTGTGCCAGTCTGTTGTTGTCTGGTGAGAATTAGGGTAGCAGACTTGTACCGTTCTCCCAGTCTCAGTAAGAGTAGCCCCTGAATTCTGTTCAGGGGATCCAAAGAACAGACATAGGCACGTTGTTCACCTGAATGCCACCCACGCTAAATGAAATATCTACTCCAGAAAACAAGTATTTAAAAAAATACCCACCTAAAGTCATTGAAATATAATTATTAAAACCTTTTATGTTACTCTACAGTACAATGAAAATTGTTCCTTTCAATTAAATTTTGAAATACACTAAATTACATCATTTAAATAATTGCAAACTTTTAAGTTCACTATTAGTGGTAGCAGAGCTATATTTACATACACTTCTGAGATATATCAGATGCAGCGTTATGTTCCAGTCCCTAAGTCAGTTAAATAACAGACTTTCAGTGGGGGTATACTGCTCTTCCACAGGTTCTACACATATTTGGGGTGTATGTGTCAGAGAGCAAGAACTCCTTTTATTATTCTCTGTTTTTATTTTTTCTTTGCTGTGTGCATGCAGCTGAATGAGCAAATTGATACCTACTTGATTTGGATTAAAGATGAAAGACCTTTTTAAACAAGTATTTTGACTGAATATACAGAGGTGAATAATGAAATATAGTCCTTAGGAGTAGCAGTGGAAAACATAATTTCCTCCAACTTTCCTCCCCTCTTGCATAATACTGCACCTAATTTTGACCCTGACTTTACCTAATGCTGATGAAATACAGTCAATGGTGGAAACCTCTCTCATGTTGTCAAGACTGGCTTTCAACACAATCCATGCAATGGTAAGCATCATATATCATTCTCCCGCAGTGCAATATTAACAAGTTAAACTCATTATTTTCCTCCAGAGATCTGCTCCTCGAGGGAAGCCCATCTCTGTATGTACATCAGCCACAAACAGGTTGTGAGTCCTGAGGCTGGAGACCAGAATTAGGCTGTAATGCTTGCTTCCAGTGCTGCTAAGAGTCTTCATGGGCCAGGCTCCTCCCTGGGCTGTCCATGGAGCAGAGCAAGTTCAGGCCACCGAGGCTCTTGATGGTCCTTTGCATGTGGCACTGGTCAAGCCAAACCTCCCTGCGTGCTGCCCATGCAGGACTCAGGGCCTGGTGTGAGGGGTGCTGATCATGATGTTGGGCAGCGCGTTCCGCCGCTTCTTCCAGGAGCCCAGCTCCCTCGAGTACCGCCTGATCTGCCTGAACCAGTGGTGAGTCCGTGCCCGGTCGCTATCCCGGAACACAAACGCCTCCCGCCTGATCTCAATGAGTTCAAAAGTGTCGTCGCAGTCAGGATCAGTGGAGACGATGCAATTACTCAGCCTCAAGGGCTCCCTGAGCAAATGGAACTTCCCATTATTTTTGTCCCTGATGAGTACCAGCACAGCGTCCTTCACAGGCCCTGGCTCGGCTGACTCCAGGCTGGACTCGGACACGCGCTTCATGTTCACCAGGAGGAGGACCTGCATGTTCTGGAACTTCAGGGTCTTGCTGCCTTTCTTCACCCACTGGCCATCGGGGGGCTGGGCCAGCTGCAGAGACCCCTCCATCACAAATCGCGTTTCCTCCCGCAGCCAACCTACAGTTTTGAGGGCGGTTTCTCTCATCTCAATGTTGATGACTTCCCTCTTCTTCTTGCTGTCCTGGCGAAAGGAGCGGAGGGTCCACGTGTTCCCCTCCTGCTTGGTTTTCATGTTGATGTGCTCCAGGTGGGACTCGATGCGGCTTTTGGCCTCCCGCAGGCTGCCATGATCTGGGTGGTACTCGGTGGTGGCCTTGATGATTCTGCTGAGCAGCAGTGGGTACTTGGTGACTCTTTGCAAAGGGGCCATCAGGAAGGACCTCAAGTTCATCCGCCGCAGTGCTGTGTTGTCATTCTGGGAGACATTGAGGAATATTCTGCCGGGATTTAAGAAGAGGGAATGAAATGGTGGCTGTTCTGCCAGCAGATGCTGCAATCCTAAATGCAAATGAACAGTGTGGTGCTGACAGCTGCTGGGCACTGCAGCCCCCTCTCTGGTTTTAACAGCCTTGTGAATTCTGTCTTCTCAAAAACTAACAACAAAAGCTGTGCTTAGCTGCAGAACAGCAATGAGGTGCCTGGACACTAGCACGTAACATCCTGGCAGTCTTCTATTAAATCGTAAAACAACGAGGGCGTGATCTTTCTCTGGTACACACTGACGTAGGCCCAAGGCAGATACATCAGTTTGTATCAGATTACATTAATTTGTAGCTCCTTTCATTGTTAGATTACAAAGTACTCTAAACAAGAATTTGGTACCGTCATCATTTTAAGCTGTTGCAGTGGAAAGAGAGAAGTGACTCGCCTGACATTGCCCAATAGGCCAGGGCTAGGAATGGGAAACAAATTCAAGTCATGCATGCTTCACACAGTGGCGTTCCCCAGTGGAAATCCAAACTGTGCTCTGGCACAGGGACTGAGAGCTGTTCTCAGCTGGGTGTTATTTGGTGAAAGTTCAGCCCAGTGGTCAGTGGGCAAACACTGGTACCACAGAATACAGTATTCAGCTGGGGACCAACTGGCTGCCTCAGTGGAGATATCAAGGGGTATTTGGAGAGTAAATTACTCTCCAAATATTTGGATATTTTGGAGAGTAAATTACTCTGCTCGCCCCAAGAGAGAGCAGCTCATCACTGAAGAACATTAGCATCAAAACTTTGATCTAGTTGAGTTGACAAAGGCTTCGCCCTCAGCCTGGTGCCTTCCATCCCCAAAGCCTGGAAGAATACACTCAGCCCTTTTCTCACCTGAGCAACTCTTTCTCCTTCTCCAGCGCATTGAGCATATTCACGGAGGAGGACTGCTGAAGACAGTAGGTCTGAAAGGCTGGCAGCATGTTGACGAACTCTAGAAATATTTCGCCGATGCACACGGTCATCAGGTCATCATCACCCTGCAAGCATGCAATACAGCCCCTGCTGGGTTAGCTCGGAAGAGGCACAAGCATGGAGCCTGCGTTCAGTCCTATCAGCATGAATCTACTGCAGGATCTGGTGAACACCAGACCAAAGGTGGAACTAGGCTCACCCTTCCTGGTGGAAAGGCAGTCCCTGCAGGTCCAGGGGGAAGCAGTGTGTGGGGAAGGGAAGGAAAGCTGGCCTAACTGCTTGCTCTTCTACACGTAAAGAGACGTCTTCTCTGCTTCTGTGAGCTCAGCCAGCTAACCAGAGCAGAGGCTCAAAGGCCAGAGGCCAGAGTGAGCCTGCTAGTCAGGAGGGCGTACTGGGGCCCTTCTTGCCAGCAGGTCTGCCATAAGGCTAATGCAGCAGTGCATAAATTAACAGAGAGCATCTAGGAGCAAATGGGCAGAGGAGGCCTCTGGTAACAGAGGTTAACTCAGGTAACAGACACGGCACTTAACAACTTCTGCAGTTGTTCTCAGCAACTGGTCTGGCTGGCTATGCTCTTACTGGCTACTTCGATGCCTAAGTGAAAAATAAATTTCATGGTAAATTGTTCACTTATTTCTGGATGTAACAAAATAAGGGAATAGTAAGAATCTGGTGCCACATAATGCTCTTAGCTTTGTCTAGGTGTACGCTGACATGCTCTGCAATCACTACTCATTTGAGCAGCAGGAGAGGGAGCAGCTTTCTGGCTCCTCGAGGCTTCTTGATGCAGTACTGAGCTCTGACTGAAAAGGGCAACATGGAGGAGGAGATAGGGAAACCCACAGCTGTTTGTAGAAGCCATTGTCTCAATAAACTATTCTGCAGTGCACATCTGTCTTCACTGTGCCAGGTACATGAGAGTGGTTGTCAAAGTTGCCAGTTTTTGAGGCATGTGTCGCTCAGTCTGACATGCAGGGTTTTGGAGAGGGAAAGGAGGGATGTGTTTCCTAGAGAACAAAACATCCTGGTGAGACTGATACAGCAACAAGTGGGTTTTGGTTTCTTGAAGAAAGGAGGGTGTGGAGCTGTTTATGTGTTCTTTGCAGCGATTGTCTGCTGCTCTAGAGTCTTATTTCTATTTCTCTGCCCTCTGACCACCACACTCATGGGGTAGGAAAGTCCCTTGTGCAAGGCAGGGTTCATCAGTAGAAGCAACTGGTACACAGAACTGTAAGGGCCAATTGTCACCAGAGCAGGGAGCAGCCTGTGCTGCCTGGCCCTGCAGCCAGCCTAGAGGCAAGCTGCAATAAACTGCAACCCAAGGCAAATACACCCAAGCCAGCCTGAAGCGAGCCAGCTCAGGGTTGGGTAAGAGCGTGGCCTGTGAGCTTGGTCCCCTCCATCCCTCTGGTGGCCAGACCAAGCTGAGCTCTGTGCCCCCATGGTCACACGCTTATCAGTGTCCAAGCTAACTGGCTTAAAGCTAACTTCGGTAATGGGACAGTTAGATCCTGTTAATGGGATAAATGAGCTAGACTGCTGATGGCCTGCTAATGTCAGTAGTGTTACCAGAGCAGAGAGTGAGGCCAGCAGCTGTGACCTGGCACAGGCCTATGGAAATCACAGGTTTATAATAGCTGAGGGAACAAGGGACTGGGCAGATGACCAGAACCTGAGAGTCCTACCTCCTGATCCCCTGCTCCATCTATGCTGCCTCACTAACGCAAAACCTATTCCTGTCTGCCTCGTTCGGCCCCTGTAGAGCACGCAGCATCATACCTGGTCAAAGGCCTGATCAATCTCTTCCTGGAGTACGTCCAGGAAGTTCTCGTTGAGGTCGATGAGCTCCTGGATGTTGCTGAAAATGCCCAGGAGCTGCTCCTGGCTCAGTAGCCCAGCTGCCTGCATGGGGAGGTAGAACTCTTCTTTGATGATGCGCAGGTCCTCTCCATAGCTGGCCTCCGTGTTGACGAACTCCAGCACAGACTCCTTGCGCTCTGTCCTGCGCTTGCGGCACTTCTCACAGAGGTCAGCCCGCCTCTGATTGCAGTTCTGCACATCCGTCTCCACTGGCAGGTCCCTTTCTCCACAGTCGGTGCAGGGACGGTGGGCTTCCCAGGCCTGCAGGGAGCTCAGCGTTTCAGATGCCCTGTTCCTCCACTTTCTGGCTGGCATCTGGCCAATGCCACTATCTGCCCTCTCCACATCCGCTGACTTGGTCCTGGTGGCCTCTCTGGGATCCAGGTCGTCCCGGACATCATTCACGCCAACAATCCCGCTGTCCGTGCTCAGGCTGCTGACATTGCTCCAATGATGTCTGGAGCGGAGGGAGCCACGTGGGGTGCGGCGGGTCTCATCAAAGCTGCCACCATGGCCAAGGTTGGCTTTTGCTACCACTGGACCTGAGAACAGACACAAATCATTACAGGCACTGCCAGCTGCACAGAGGTCACCTGAGGAGCTCAAGCTGGCACAGCCATGAATGGTAGGAACCTTGGGGGTGGCAGGCTAGATCTGGTGAAAGCTGTCTCCCCACCAGTTTTGCTGCGGAGACTGGTGAGAGTCAGAAGTAAATGGCTCCCAGGTGAAGCCTGGGGCCTGTCATCCCTGTACTGCCCATACCTGTGAACTCATATGGGCTCTCTCTTCCCCTGCCATCTGCCAGGCAGGGACAGAGACACCGCAGAATAGATCCTGATTTCTTGCACACCTGGGTTAGGGTTAAACCCAGAATGCTTCCCTCCCCCAGGTCATTAGAGTCACTCCATATTTACACCAGCATAGCAGGGCTCAGCATGTGGCCCATCAACCCCCTCTGAGTGTGCAGAATGTGGGTACCGTAGTCTCGCTCCTGCCGGCGCTTCTGTGCATGCTGCCGTGCTGCAGCTGCAATCTTCAGCTCCAGCTGCTTCCTCTTCACCGAGTCTGTCGGCATAGGGTCACTGAAGTGTGGCCGCAGCCGGCAATCCCGCTGGGCCTTGGCACCATCCGTGCTCTCATGGACGATGTCAGAGCTGGATCGGCGGCAGCCGGGACTGGGGGTCTGCAAGAAAGGCAAGTGGATTGGAGCAAGGCAGTGGTCAAAGCAGCACCTGGTTTGCAGCCACTGGACTTTAGTTGCCAAAGGAGAGAAAAGGAAACTCATCAGTGGTGGGATTGTAAATGCAGCTCTGCTACATGATCATTAGGAAATCTGTCCCCCCAGGTCCCTCTGTCTTGCCTAGTCCTAACAGCAAGGACCTCTCTCCCTTTGCTGTTGTGTAGCTCTGAGTACAGCGGCTCCATGGTGGCTGGATCACGGCTGTTGAATAACCATGAAGAATTCAACAGCATAGTCCTGGCTAAGGGCCTAAAGTGGGGGCTGAGCCTGTCCTCCAGGGATCTGAGCTAGCTTGCCCCTGTTCTGTGAACGTTTCAGCGCTGCAGGGTCAGGAGCTCCAGCCTCTACGCCTTACCTACATTAGTGGTTTGACCAAGCGGGGACCAGGAGGGAGTCTGTCTGATCTCCCGGGCAGTCCAGCAATGAGGGGCTGGTGGCACACTGAAAGCCATGAAGGGGTTATTGCTGAACTCCCTGCAAGAGATGCAGCGACAGATAGGCAGGGGCACAAAACTGACTCCTGTTTCATTAACGGTAATAAAAAAGGCACTAGAAATGCTTCTAACAGAGCTTAATAGCTCATGGGAGTTGGTGTAATTTCAGATCCCAGGCTCCCAGCCTGCCCAGTTCCTACAATGAAGGGATCCTTTAGAGCTTCTGACAAGAAAAAAGATCCTGAACACATGCCCAAGATGAGAGGGGAATTCCTCTCCCTTACATTCCCTGCAGGTGGAGTGTCGCTGGATGTCTCATTGCTTGGCTTGTCCTCCCAGGTCTCTGTTGCCATGGACATCGCTGTGGGCTGCTGGCTGTCCTCTGGAGGTGGGAGATCAGCTTCCCTCAGATCACACTGTCCCTTGGAAGGGGATTTGGCAGCAGTCTCAGCATTGCAGCTGCAGGGGAAGAAGCAGACTCTGATGAACATCACGTATGCAGTTCACCTGCTGTTCCTGACACAGATGAGACTGAGCAGCAAGGCCAGGTTCGAACAACCAGCCACAACAGTTCAGGGAAAGTGCAGGCAGGAATCTAGACTGGTTGGCATGGATGGCTGTGCGTGTGCTTCAGAGGCTCCAAACACAGCTCAGTTGTAGCAGTGCAAATCGGGTAACTGCACTCATGCCAGCATCAGTCTGGGATATCAAGTCTCGGGTGTTCAACAGGGTATTTTTGTGTCCATAAAACATGAGGTTCTCCCATAGGGACCGGAAAAACCTCTTTCTAAGTAGGCCATATCCACATTTGCTGCTATTTAAAGAGATGTTGTCAACACAGAAACCATATTGCTCATCTGGAAGAAAATCACCTGCTAAAAACCGTAATACTTTGAAGAGATTAGAGGATTAAACGAGCTTTCCCTCTGTTTTTCATCTCATATGATCCCAAGCCTGCTGAAACCACTGGAAAGATTCCCTCTGCTTTCAGTAACTCAGGATCAGGCCTTTTGGTGCACTTAAGAGTCCTGAAAAGATTGGCAGAGTCTGTTGTTCTCACTTGGCAATTCTGGGATGCTCTTATTCATGGCTGTCTGGTGCTAACAAGGGCCTGGCCTGGCTGATACAGGCAGCCTGTTCCAACCCCACGTTCCCCTCTCTGTAGATAACACCACCTCTCCAGACAGACACAGTCTGGTGCAAAACCACTGACTTGACAGTGTAGTTGACAGGCTGTAGTTTGTGATACTACTTGTGATACATTTTTTTTTAACAGACTCTCTAAGACACCTTATTTCCATGCATAATGAAGCCTACTTGGAAGAATATTAATTTTTTCATTTTTGGTTTACTTAATTTTTATGGGCCTCGATTCCTTTAAAAAGAAAGGTTGTCAGGACTGGATATGGATGCTTGTACATAGAGGAAGCCCATGTCTGGAACATATTTCAGGTTATGCATATATTTTATGCTGAACAAAAGTCTCCCATGACAAAAATCTGCTTCTTCTTAAAGGTTTCACTTGTGAACTTACGCTGGTAGGTCATACTGCTAACGTGCAATTCCAACACTGTCAGCTACAAGCAAACACATGAGACAGATGGGCATTTTCCTTAAGATGAATGACAGTTGGCTCCAATAACAAACCATCAGCCAACACTGAAATTGCTGAAGAGGGAACAAATCTCCCAGAACACAAACTGGGTCTGTTGTCAGGCCAGAAAAGTTGGTTTGCAACTTTCCAGCTGATGCTTTTTCATTTTCCTCCATTTATGCTTCCAGGTCCCAGCTGACACTACCAGAGGATTTACCAACTTAAAAAGAGTTTAGCCGCGGCTGCACAGCAACAGCACAATGGTAACAGCAGGCTCCTGGCTTTTACTTTTTGCTGTGCTAACTCCCTGCCATGTGGATTTGGAAGTGTCAATTCACCCCTCCAGGCCTCTTCTCCCCAGCCTGTAGAAAGGGGATACCAACATCAGCGCTGTCACAGAGCAGTCTGTAGTACACACTGCATTATCCCCCTTACAGTTTTGCAGTAAGAGCAGCGCAGGCACACAGCAAGGCTGTGTTCCCACCATGGTACTGTCCTGGCCCGGTCCAGCTTAAGAGGTTCCTGTCTCCTTCCTCCCTCCCATCCCCAGCCACATTTGGGGTACCACTCCTTCAGCTGGTCCAGTGTAACTGTCTGTGTGGCCATGATCTAAAATCAGTCTTGAAATGACCTGGGTTTAAAAAAATATCCTCCCTCATGTATTCCCAGCCAGACCATTTCATCGATGTTTCATTGAGTAGGGTGAAGTATGAACAGTTCAGCTGGGCACACCTGTGGGAGTAAAGGCAGAGGTTAAGGAGCAAGAAACCTCTTGAAGAGGATCTGCCACTGCCAGAAAACCACCATTTCCAAAAGTTGCTCCTGCTCAAACAGCTTCTGGTTGAAACATGCAGAAAGAAGGGACCATGCTGAGGCACAGAGAGACAACGGGATGTGTCCAAGGTCAGTAGCAGAGCTCAGAACTGGAATATTATCTTCTCCTCTTGATCACACCACCTCCCACCATACAGACCATACTCTCAGAGAGAAGCTGAGTTTTCATTTGCCATTTTTACAGTGCTTCAAGATCATTCACTTAAACATGGAAAGTACTCCAGAGCATTACTGCTTCTCTAAGCGAAGCTGACAGCAGGTCTCTGCTGATAAGGTCTGCGGACCAGATGCCATTGCTTATTGTGGTTTCCATAACCCAATGGTTATTTTTATTATTAACCCAAGGGATATTTTTAAAAAAATCTCCAGACATGACCTGCAGTGGGAATAAGAGCCAATACTACCCAGAGAGCTGAGCTAAGGAAGTGTGACTGGAGACTGAGAAATTCAACCCACCCCATGGCTGGTCAGCTAGAGGTAAGAAAGGCAATGATGCAGCGCCCACATTGTGTGAAAGGACATTTCTTCATCCCTGGTCTGACTGCTCTACTTCTAGTTGTGATTAGATCCCTCCCGCATGACGATACTGACCATGCCGTGTGAGGGTAAGTGCTGCTCCACAGAGCAGTTGCTGTGCACCGCACCACCAGTCTGATCAGAGGGATGTAGACAAAACAGGGAGGATACAAGCAGTTTTGTAGAACCAAAACTTAGGGCTGCTCCTTTAACCTTTGTCCCTGGCTTAGGAGGAAGAGGGGACATCATTGCCAAGAAAAAGGGATATTGCCCCTTCCTCCAGTCCCCTCCCCCTGGCAGAGATCTGGGCTGCCAACAGGTCTACACCAATGCCTGCTCAAGCAGTCCCCTCTGCTCTTATGCAGAGCTGCAGAAGGGGGAACTCTGACGTGTTTCCTTCTATGGGATCAAATCACTTATTGGAATAGGAGTTTCCTGCCTGGGGTTGGTGTCAGTTTTCCCTGTTCTCTCCAAGACAGATGACGCGCTTGGGCCAGCACAGGGAGGACAGGTTCTTTCTGAATGTCCTTTTAAACCTCTGGGCCATCATTTCATGGAAGCAGAGGCACTGGATGTGTGGTGTACAACTGGAAATGCACCTGCTTTCCTTCACAGTCTCTATGGGATTCTTCATGGTTGTATCATTGTCCAGGGCAGCAGTTCTCAGCCCTTTCCACATGTTCCTGACTCCTTCTGACTAATGGAAGCATTTTTGTCCACTCCTTCCCTGCTGGCACCTGCCTTTCAGACTTGGAGTCCTCTGCTATAGGAAGCTGTTATTGTACCCACCATCCCAGTGTCATCCCAAATACACCCCATCATTCTTTTCAGGAAGCCTTCTTTCTTAGTCATGTCCTTTGCTTCCTTGTGCAGGTTTTTGTTGTCACCTTGTCCCCCATTTCATAGGCAGGAACCCCAGGTCCTTGCACGTCCTTATCCTGAACAATTCGCTGCTTAAACAAGTTCAGAAAGTAGACTATATATTGAAATGCGTACAGGATTTCCACCTAGATCTCAACACCCCTTCCGTGCCAGGACTACAACCTAAGTTAAAGGTATCCAGTGACCTATGAGGTGCCTAAAGCCGCCATAATTATGAAGCTGAAAATCAAATCTTCACTGATGAAATATTAAGCCATTTCAATGAGTCTTAAGTAATTAACTATGAATTACTAGGGAGGCAGTTAACCTACCAGACAAAACTGCTTTGTAAAACTGTAACACTTACACAGAAACACGACAAAGAGAAGACAATTTCAGCTATCTTATTCTGTGATGCTCCATCACAACATCTCTATCAAAGGCTTGCTGAGCTCAGTATCTGTGGAAATGGGACCACATCCCCAGCTTTCAGCTCATTTCATTTGAGACTTAGAAAAAATGTGGGCTGGATGTCAGCAATCATAATTTAGGACCCAAAACATCCAGACAAAGAGTCTCCCACCTCTGCAGTGAAAATCAGCTTGAGTTACAAATGAATATTCAGGCACTTTACAGTCTCGGGTGAAAATGATGGAAAATTGAGAAATTTCCAGATAAAGGAAACGGGAGTTTCCCACTAACCAGTACTTTGGCACTGCCAACAGATTTGTCTTTCTCCTGCTATCCTGAAGAAATGACAACCTTCACCATTAATTGTTATTACTATGGAAAATAAACAGGCCAGGGTGAGTCCTTCACATGAAACAACTTCTCTAATACTGGAACCACTGTCATTCTCATTTTTAGATCAATTACCATTTTGGTGTTAATAAAATCACCTCATATATTTTAACAAATCCAACTAGGGAGACTGAACACATTCACAGAAACAAAAACCACTGCGGATATTAAAGGCACAGAAACCACACTGAAACCATAAAGGCCCTGGGCAGAAAGTGTTTGGAGGCTGGGAGAGTAGTAGGAAGAAAGATCATATGCATTACCCAGTTCCTGTATACTTTGCTATGCATGCACCTCAGGCTCCAGATACTAGTCAAACCTTTGATCTGCCCGGAGACAGCTGTTCTTATGCTATTCTCACGGCTTGTGCCATTCTGTGTATTTCATTTCACATCAATGATAAAAATAGCCTACTCAGTGAAAATGGTTGCATACCATAACTTTCTCATCTGTTTCTTCATTGGGTTTTCATACTCTAGAACAAAGGCACAAAGGCTGGGCTGGACAGCTGAAGGAAGCATTTAGGGCTCTGACACCACCTACTTCCCTTTGGATTATAAAGTTGCAGAAGTATTTCTGCTTGTCACTCTGGCTCTGTCTACATGGGGAGCTTCAGCTCCACAGAAGTTCTTTCAGACAACTCTCATTCCTGTGCAGAAGTCACTATCATCTCCTCTAAAACCCGAGTCCAGTCTCAGAGTTCTAGCATTCCAGAAATACCAAGCCAGTGTACGAGGTTGATGCCCTGGCATTTCACACACCGCATCTGCGGATGTCAGAAGCAGCCAGGAACCAAGTCAAATGTAATTCTTTGCGAAGCCAATCCTGAACACCAAGCGTATGGAAACAAACCACTCCACCAACACTTACTCCTCATTTTCCCATCAGCCTTATTTAGTGATAAGACAGGGATAACTGCCCCAAATTCCTAGCTTCCAGAACTTTGCTGATTCCTGTTGGGCCACCTGCTTGCATAGAAAGAGATCCCCATTTCTTTGGCAGGAGGGAGGTAACAGGACTGCAGTGTCCAAAACCAGGATAGAGAAAGCAGTCCTTGTGAACATCTTACCCAGAGAAGGGGAAAACCCTGGTTGGAGAAGAGGGAGGAAGGCTTTACACAAGTATTTTCTGTCACTGCTTATGCTGTCTGAGTAGGCAGAAGGACAGTATTTGCAAGTACTTTCACTTGCTGCCTGTACTGGTCTCCAGAGGGTGGTTAAAGGCTCGTAGCAGCAATCTTGCTCTCATTTGTTTACCAGTCCAGTATGTACAGGCAGCAAGTGAAAGCACTTGTTGCTGCATGTCACACTACCTAAATTCATGTTCTGCAGTGGTGGGACAGACTCTACATCGTTTTTCAAAGGAATCATCTTAGTACTTTGTATCCCTCTGCTGTCCTCTATTTTTAACAGGTGTTAAAAAAAAAAAAAGACCTTTCAAGAATTTATTACAGAAATAAAATGGGTGCGAAATTGGGTGTCAGGACTATTAATGGCTGCTGTCTGGACAGGATTAAGGTGTACAAAAAGGCAAAGTCTAGATGAAAATGCTTTTTGATGTTTAATCCCATGCAAAGGTGGAGTTTAAGTTCAACAGCTTAAAGACACGTCCATGTGGCTATCAATCAGAGACCCTAAGACGAAAGGCTCTGCCGACAGCGTATTTATGCTACAGGAGTTAAATGTACATATCAGAAGAGAGACCAGATTGTTAACAAGGGAACTGCTTTCAGGTGACCCCACAGAGCATGTTACCTTTTCTTAATAAGTTCCAGGGCTGAACCTATGAATTCATCCTTCATTTTTTGTAGCTTAGCTCCATAGCTGGATAAGTCTGTGGCTTCTAACAGCAGCGATGAACAGCAAGAGGACTGGGCTTCAGAAGCCAGCGACTGCCCTGCAAGGTGGAGGACATCATTTAATTGTCTTGTCTCTCCTTTCTGCTGCTCATCACTGAAGATCTCCTGCCCAGCTCTGTGTATTGCTACTGCCTGCAAAGGTGATCGTGGAATAGGGCTAGAGCAAATGGGGACCAGGGATCTATCCGGGCTGGAGATCTGGAAGGTTCTGTCCTTCACCTCAAGGCTGCTCATTCTGAAACCATCCCATGTGGCTGAATATTGGGAAAAGCCAGCAGAGGTGTGGTTTTCATGGAACACATCGTCGTCATCCTCCGCTGTGACAGCAGCTTCATTCACAGCTTTGGTCCCCAGAGCTTCTGGACAGACGTTCTTATTTTTCTCCTCCTCCAGGGTCTGGTTTGCCAGCAGACCCTTATTCAAGCACTCTGTTGGCCCACTGCTGCTGGCAGATGAATTTGCCTCCTTACTTCTCATTCGCTTGAATTCTTCAAAGGTGGGTATGTAGAGCCTCCCTTTGCAGCGGCCTTTCTTGCTCTGTCCCAATGTGGCTTTGACATCTGTTTCCCCATTATATTGTTCCAGGATTTCTGCTGTTCTGCATTTGGCCATCTCATGGCTTTCCCCGGCATGCTGAAGGGGCAAATTGGGGGAGCTATTCTGCCTTCGGAGCTGAAGCCTCCTCTGAGCCTCCTGCTTGATGTCTTCTGGACTGATGATCCTGTGTGCAAAACACAGTCTCTGCCTCCCTGTGAGGCTGTGCCTGAGAGCAGTGTGTTCCACCAAAACCATGCAGCAGTTGACAGCACAACCATTCTTGTACTGCTGGCACATCTGGCATTCAAAAAACTCCCGGGCCATCAGGTCAGGCAGGGCCACCTGTGGACGCACTGGCTTGCAGGGCTCTGCCACTTTACTGCTGTGCAGCCTCAGCTTCTCCTTCAGCTCTTTTTTGGCATCCCCATGTAGGGCTTTTTCCTCTGCAGAAGGGAAAAGCCACTGAGGCACTTTGGCAAAGGGAGGGAGGAGCACATTCTGTGCTGATCGAGATGTCTGTTTAGCACGGAGAGAAAGGTTTCTCAGAGAGTCCGATGTGCTCTGTACTGGGGCCACATCCACACAGCCTTCTGTCCACTGACTGGTGCCTCTATAGCGAAAGATGATCTCGTTATCCAGGCTCCGGCAGTGAGAATACAGCCCAGAGTCAGCAGGTGTTGCCCAGTGAAGGTTCTCCACGCTCCGATACATCCGTTTTTCCACAGGACTGGCCAAAGGTGCCTTGCCTGTGTGGCAGGAGCCTGGAGTGTGGAAGTCCCCAGAAAAAATACGAGTGTCTACGTTCTTTAGTGGATGCATACTGCTAACCGAAAAATCCTTTAAGCCATGTTGTGCATAGAGCTGATTATTTTGGCAGCTCAAGATCACCCGGCAGTGTTCCTGTCTCTCATCAACACTGATGTATGTCATAGCAAATGCACATGGAGGCTCTAAGACAGTGGCGTCTAGGGGGAGAGGAGGGAGCTGGGGTGTCGCTTAGATGCCAGTCAATGTCCACAGACCACAGACAGCAAAGTGTGCTGCTGGGTACTCACATAAGAGACCTCTCACATGGGTTGAGTCGCCATGCGTAGAAGACCTGTGAATGGAAGGAAAGATGAGTTACTGAAGCAGCCTGGTGATGACTCGCAGGATGCAATAGCAGGCCTGCTTCCAGGGAATGCAGAAGCCAAACACCAACAGCTTGGGTAGAAACAGAGCAGCATAACTAGGAGATGAGCCATGGGGCTTGGGGCAGGGAATCTTTTCCATCTCTAGCCAAGCCAACAGTGGCCTTACACCACCCATCTGAATTTTGGAGAAGTTTATCCTACCTATCCTCAGCAATTCCCTCACAGTAACACAGCTCAACTCTAGTGACGAATACTCAGAAGTGCTTGCTGCCGGCCCAGCTTACTCACACAGCAGCGCTAAGGAGATGGGAGGTTTACAAGAGATAGTGAGGTTCTTTCCCTCAAATGGGGTGCAGACAAGAGTGTGGTGGTTAAGGAGGAGGCTGGGGGTGGGAAAGGATGACGTGACAGTGTGGTTTCCTGGAAGGCTCAAGTAGCAAGGAGGAAGAAGAAGGCTGAGTGGTGGTGGTTTTGTCCCTGAGAGTCACACTGCAGCCCCTTAGTGCTCTGATTTACCCTTCACAGGGAAGATGCACACGCTTTAGTGACTGGTAGCCAAGCATTTCCAAGGCCTTTCCAGTGCAGAGACAGAGGCACCCACAGACTTTCAAAAATGCACCCTCCTGACCCCTTAGCAACAGACCCAAATGATCATCCCCCCCATAACAGCTCAGTGGAGGCCCAGAAAGAGAAGGTGTGGTCTCCAAGGCTGTTCCTGTGATCTTTGTTCGGCATTGTAAGGCCCAGGGAACCTAAGTGACTAAATCACATGTTCAGAGCAATGCGGAGAATTAAATCCCAGAACTTCAGTTTGGGCCAGCAGGATGTAGGCTAAGTGTCTAGGTCATCCTTGGAAGTGGAAGGAACCTCCTTACATTGAATAGAAAGACTCCAAATTTCTCTTAAGGATTTAGACCTCATGGACTTGCCAGCAGTCACACAAGACATCAGTGTCTGCTAGAGCCCTGTCCACTCCCTCCCTTGGCAACCAGAGGCAAAGGGAACGAGTGAGTGCCATATGTAAAGGAGAACAAGATTGGGCAGGGGATATGGGGTTAGCCTGAGATTCGTAAGGGCAACATAGAGCTGGGATGGTGGGGCATTGGTCTCTAAAAACAAGCCAGGCAAGAACCAACCAGGTTAAACACCCAGGAAGAGGTCTTGGTAAAGCAAGACAGAACATGCAAGTTACAGCCCAGACTGTTTGCTTTGTAGTGCAGCTAGGTTCTCCACACACTGCCAACCATTCAGGCAGCACAGCCACCTTGACCAGGAGGGGAATGAAAAGGCTTGTTACTCCCTGAAGGATAAGACACCTCAGGCATCTAACCATGTAAGGCACCAACAGACATCTTCCATTTGAGGAGAAGTCTGAGGCAGTATATTGTCTGGAAGCCAATCTTGGTAACTCGCTGGTAGCTTGATTCACCCCTTGCTTAGAGTAGTTCAAATTAGCATACTTTCCCTGCCTTAATGAAACTATCTCTAATCTAATCCCAGAGAGGGAAGGCAGAGCTGCTGCTGTGGATCACCGCTGAATGGAGAACATTATTTCCGTCCTTCATAATTGCTAAAAATAAAAATTAAAACTAGCTCTTAAGGTGTGGCTGCTCCCCAAGGTGTCACAGGCACTTCTCACCCAGTCTTCTCATGGTGGGGCTGGAGTTCCCCCTTCTTCTCGGCTCTGGAGGAGCCCACAGGTGACAGCAGAGAAACGTGAGGATCAGGACTTTCTGTGATCATAGGTTATAACATGATCTGTCAAGAAAGAGAGAATGAGATGAAGTGAGAGCCAGTCACTGAGTAGGGAACAGGGCTCCTGGTAGTGCTGAAGGGCTCCTGTGAGAAAGTGCTGTTAATGAGAGATGCCATGGCCTGTCAGGTTGGTCTGTGATCAGGTCACAGCCACAGGACTAAAAGCCACTGTGTACTTTCTGCACTCTGCTTTCAGACCAAGTAGAAAGAGAAAACCACCCTTGCTGTAGTGAGAGCTGAGAATAAAGTGGTCCTTGCCCAAGGCAAGGAGTTATACACAGTAAGGCCTGAAGAGAAACCAAGGCCCATGTGGGGCATGTTCCTGGGCTACATGCTTGCTTGGCAAGCTCTGCGTGTGTGCGTGTCAGAGTGAGGGAGCCGGAGAAGAAAGTGCACAGGCAAGGGGAGAAGCAGTCACGAGAAGAGCAAGGAAGCAGAGGCACAGAAATGATGGGGTGGGATCTGTCTGTGGTTGCTCCCTTCACCAACAGATGGGGCAGCACTGAAAATACAACTGGCTTGTGTCCTCATGGTCTCTCTTCAGGTGGAAGTTCACTGCTGGGGCCTGTAGTGCTGACCCCTCTTTGGGCTGCAGGACAGCTGCAGTGACACCAGGCGTGGGCGGCCACAGGCCCTGCCTGCTCAGGTGTGTGGCACAAACCACGGGGGGGGGGGCGTTGTGTCCCTCTGTTACACGGGGGAATGCCTCAAACCCACCGGCAGGAGAGGGTACCCCTTTGCCCTGCAGGAGAGCAAGGCCGATTTCCCCAGCGGGTGTGGAAGGTGCCAGTGCTCATGAGCACCTCCAGGCAGCAGGGACCTGCTGCTGCTTTGCCAGGGCAGGATATTCCAGAAGATGTGCGTGGGGCGGCAAAAGTTGCTTTCAGGGAAGGAGCAGCTGGGAGAAACCTCCTGCAGGCAGAGTCGGGCAGGCAGAGAGTGAAGGACAGAGAGGGGAAGCCAGAGGCAGGTTTGCAGAGCGGAGGACCCAGAGAAGACAGAGAACAGCCAGAGCTGGCTGGGAGAGACAGCAGGAGACAGAGACTTTCCAGAGGAGGCTGTGCAGAGTTTGCTGACATGTAGGCAGGCACCAAAAATTACTGGATTAAGTGGAGGAAGAGGGGAATTTTGTTTCCAAATAATTTATTTTAATCTTTGTCACCCATCAGAGCTGAGTTTTCTTTCTCTAAAAAGCGACTTTTAGCTCTAAGAAAACACTTCAGACACAGGAAGTCCCTTTGATACTTTCGGGAGAGCTCAAAGCAAAGGTGCACGTGGATGTGGTGGGCGTGCAAGGGGATTCGGTGCCCCGGCTGGAGTGAGAGGGAGCCTCAGAAATCAGTGAGCTCCGTTTTGCCTCACGCCTGCAAGGCAGCTGTGGGGATCTCATAACAGCCAGCTTGGACAGGAGCACCTTTCTTCCCTGTCACTCCATCCTTGAAAGGACCATCTCTTTCCTACTGAACTCTTCTAATCTTGCCCAATACCCCCATGTCACTACCTTGAGGGCTGTGCACAGCGTGTCAGGTAGCTAAGCTTAATTTCACTGATCACCCAGGCCAACTGCTGCCCGAGTCATGACCTGTGAAGGGGGACCAGCTGTGCTGAGGCACAGCCTGCTTCCCCCGCTGCCCAGGGATGCTTGGAGCAGGAAGAAAGCAGAGGTCTCTCTAGAACACCAGATAATTCTGACCTGGCCTGTAACCAGGAAACACTGAGCCCTTCTCCCTCCTTCCCCTGTTCTTGTGCTCCATCCCTCACAGCATACAGCAACAGCATCACAGTTTCAGCTCAGATGCCCGCGTTTGTCAGGTCAGTGACACTGCTATAATATAAAGCATGTGTCTACACATTCAGCTTTAAAGTAACATGGCCACAAGCATGTTCTAGGCACTCTGCTGGAGGAGAGCATGAGATGGAGACAGAAAAAAAAATCTGAGTTAATATGCTTATGGTTGATATGCTAAAGATGATCTTACAGCACATCCTTGTAGGCTCACTGTACATACAGAATATTTAGCTGCAGTCTTACACGGTCACCATCGAAGAAACACTGGGAACTACAGCAACATGGAAGAGTTTGTCCTCCCACCACCTCAGAGCTATAACTGCAGTCTACAGCAGGTGATCCCAGGTATGGAAACTAGCAAATGCCACAGAAGTGTGAGGCAGTGGAGAGAAGTAAATGCCAATCTCTCACATGGTGACCCAACTCAGGGTCCTAACTCACCCTCTCCTAAAGGTACAAAGCAGTCCTAATGCACCCTGTGTTCTCTTCTAAACCAAGCAGTGACTTGCCAGTTCTTTGTTGCTCCCTGGCGTACGTGAGCACCATGGGTTGATGCTGCACTCCTTCAGTTACCTACCTGGGTACTTCCAGGCAGTCCTGTTCACACTTCCCCAAAGCTAGGGCTTTATTCTAGTCCAGCAATCCTCCAGGCCAATGCTGACTTATTCCAGGCCAAATAGCAAAAAGGAGCTTAGTGTTGGCTGCCGCTGTGGAAATGGTACATCATTGCTCTTTGATCATGTTGTCTCTGCAACATTTGCCTGTTCCCTGGCTCAGGGACTGAAAAGCTCCTGGTGGTTATGAGCCTCACGCCTTAAGTGAGCATAAGACTAAAGGCATCGTGTGCTCAGCTTATTTTCTACCATGTGATTCTGTTTAATCAACTTCTCCACTACTCTGATAAGTGCTTGCTTGGAGACTTGCCACTAACCTTCATCTTCCTGCAAAATCCCCCCAAAGAACTTATTTCTTAAGGATTAAAGCTTGAAGGATAAATTATTCCTTCCCATACACATAAGAACCGTTCTGCCTGGCTGACCTTCCCAGCAAAGCACCAGACAAAGCGTCAGGAGGATGAAGCAGGCAGGCACAGGATAAGTTGTTCAGTGCTGGTGAAAAGCACTGTGGAGAGGACCAGTCATGTCCAGGGACTCCAGGGACATCAGGACAGGGGACCATAGAGCCTCACAAGGCCTGAGGAAAAGAGGCTACCAAATCTGGCAGGGCTGAGTAGGTTTGCCAGTGCTGCTTTGCAGAGTTCACTGTAGCAAGATTTGCTCGATAGACTTGTCAAACAGGGAAGATTGTTCCATGAGATGGTGGAGAGCAGCTTGCTATTGTCTGGCCTCTCCTGCCTTGATCAGAGAGATAAGTGAGTCTGGTACACTCTCCACTCTCCACATTCACAACATCTCA